GCCCCCCCCCCCGCCCCCTCCATACTGTGCCTCTAGTCTACGTTTAAACGGAAACAGGAAAGCTCACAAACGTACCAGTGGGAGTAAATCATAAATCAATGAGAGTTTTGTTGGCTGAATTCGTCCGGTGAGAACTCAGTCAGCGATGGAAAAGTACGCAGTCAGTTGGTTAGTCAGTCAGTCAGTCACTGCCCATAGACAACAATATTGTGTGGCCCGGGATGGATTGCCGATCAAACACTAAAGTTGTCGAATGCCCGCATGCTTATCGACACAAAAGTTGGTTTCACAAATGAAAACCTGAGACAGGAATTACTCCTGGCGTTAAATGAACAACAATAGGACTGAGTGAACGAGTGCACGCGCGAGATAGCCCTGGTGTGACTTATTTAGGCCCTAAGAAGACATCGTGGATACAACAAGCTTTCTTTCATTCTGGTCATTTTGTAATCCTGAGCGAGAATACGAGATATGTATGTGATACCTGAAGAAGTCTTTGATTAGATCAACTTCAACTTCGTACTACTGCACGATTTATTTCTAGGACGATTTCAGTGCATCTCAAGCAGATGATTTTGTTCGAGTCAAGTCAAAAAACGGTTCATGCACATAAAGGGTAAATTTTCAATAACTTATGAACTTGTTCATAGGATATATTTATATATGCACATGTTTCGATAAAGAGACAAAGAAGTTCAACACAGTAGTGTATAGGAAGTTCTAGTGCCAGAGTATATCCTTGGGGAAAGCGACAATTGTCGTACGATCAGCTAAGACAAAGACGAATCACGAAATGATACCGTTTTCTGTATGTAAATGCACATGCAGAAACGAATGGAAATTTGGAAAGCGTTGGGCAACTGGATAAAGGTTTTAAGATTTCATGATGCAGGTAGTGATTTTCTTCATGAATTATCCTATCAATAAACGTCTTACAAACAAAATAGGGAATAAGCTTGTTTTGTCACTTCATCTTCAGGCACTTACAGTTATGTTATATGGACGTAGATGTGATTGGTCCATTTAGGTTTTGATATTCTTATGGGAATCTGCCATGAAATATTACACTCCTCAGAAAGGCTTGGAAACAATAAATCTTACCAAAAACATTGCTATCCAAATTGAATATCCCAGACCGCTTCGGATAATCAAAGCGATTTGACTGGTCTGTCGTAAGCCTGTCAATCCAGAAGTCAACTTGATGATTTTCTGAATCCCTGGGTAACTCAATCAATGAAACGAGTGGAGCAAACAATCCCTCCGGTTATAGTCCAGCTGTTACCTTCTCTCATTATCAAAAGAATAACACATTCCGTTTGTACTTTGTTATGCACATCAATCACGTAGCAAAGTCTCTGTTGCACGCGAGATCTCCCGTGAACATAGTCTGATCCACATTCTCGGATTACTGATATGACTGATTTTCAAGTTATCATACTGTTCCGATAAGTAGTCATATCAAACACACTTTCACGAACTTTGGATATGCACAAGGGCAACAATCAACCCGCCAGTGTACACATCAAGATGTGATGAAATCGCCTTAGTAAGTAGACGGACAAATGGAGGCTCCCAGGTCAATGAGAAAAGCTTTCGAACACACTTGTGGGAGTCACCAGAATAATCGCCTGTTTGTAGTTATTGTCACCACGCTATGTCAAAATATTTTTCGGAGGATTAGGGACAGAAAACCGATCGCACCAACCGCGTTTTACGTTGGTAAGACCACAGTGATGTCTCTTTCTTGCCAAATCTCCACTGAATAGGGTTCAACTCAGTTTCAACATCTTGTAACCATGCTCCTGTGTTCAATAGTTTTGGTTGCTGTCTTAGGGCTACCTATATGGATAAGAGCGTAGAAGGAAGATTTGAATCACACGAGATCCATGGATGGAGCGAATCTCACCGAAAGCTTGGGCCTGGTACTCGCGATTATTGAGGAAATAAGCCTGTCTTAGCCACGACGAATGAAAAAACAAAAAACAAGGCATTGGTGACAAAGATAAGAATGTTTACAGTAGAGCCAAAGAGAAGATAGAAAGATAATTATTGTAGACTAGAGTTGCGAAAATGTAGATGAGTAGATGCACGAGTACCACTGTTTGCGACACTCGACCATATCACTCAGTGTTCCTAACCACCTGTTACCATGATCTTGAGATCCCCATTCGGGAAGCCTAACGGGTCTTAGTTTGGCCACCCTTAACCTTTTTTTCGGTCGCTGCCTGCCTCGGCAAACATTGTGCGGCCTCGCACTCTACTTGGTGCCTTGCACAACAAATTTCCCTTTACAGAAAGTCAAAAGTCGCGACGCCGTCTCAGAAATCTCAGCCGCCAAATACCAGTAGAGCCTTCTGTATGTGCGCCGACTATTCCTCCATGATGCGTCTGCCAGTTGAGATATAGCTGCTCAAATAGCAAAATTNTGTTTACTTTATGACTGCCTTAGTTGGAGCAAGCGTACAAGTGATCAATCCGTAGCTGCGGACAAGCGACAACAAGGACTTACACGAGTAAGCCAACATTGTACATCATCCGGGGTCCACAGGGGAACTTGTGGACTGAGACGATAGGGAACCGGTTCACCGAGTAATTGTAACGCCAGGCCGGCAAGTTCGGATTCCAGAGGATTCAATCTGCAAGCAATCTCATGCAATTTGCTCACCGCATTGATTTCGTAGAAAATCTGTTTGACACAAAAGAGTTGTCACAAATCAAAGAATGAAATGGTGATGATGATTTGGTACTGAATGGCTAGTATCGGAATTATAGCATACGACGACCACTAGGCAGCAAGGAATCGCTACCGCTATGAATTTCGTGTAATGCCGCAGGTTTGTATCCCATTAGGGGTGATTTGGTTTACACATAGAAATTGGATATTTTCCATCCAACTTACAGAGGTATATGGAATCTATCAGGTAGCATGCAAATCAACTGCCACGACAGGTTTTCTTGAGAAGCCACCAGAGACCATCGAGTGATATTCTAGGACAAGGTTTATTGATCAAATTGTTGTTTGTCAGATTGACAATTTCACATTCGTTTAATACGATTTCTTGGATAGACTGACTATACAGCCCATTTTCAGGCCAGCAGTCATAAGCGATCAACGATTAACGGTGTACAGTAAATAAGTTGAGTAGATGCTGCTGGGATTCGCACACAAGACCTCGTAACATCGCAATCTACGAGCTTTGCGTTTACATCTTCAAATTATGTAGTCGACTAATCGCTGGAATCCTGGATCACGGCCGATATCATGCAAAAGTGGGGATGATCATAAGCCAAAGAATGTACGCCCTTGGTAAAGTGGTTTGTGAATTTCGACCTGGCCCGAATTTTTCACCACTATTTTGGTGACCTTTACGCAGCTGTTGCTCGTACCACGTTTGATAAAAACATGAATGGAATTAAAAACATTGTCATTATTATCATCTTTGGTGAAACATTCAAGTCTCTAGAATACAGCTCTGCTAGGGTAACCAAACAATTTTTACCTCTGTAAAACTGCCACATGTAGGAACTGGGCATAATCAGCACTAACTTTGTCAGTAGTACCTAACCAAAATCGGTTTTTGGAAATTACCATAAAGGTTGTAAAACGAATCGTAAGAACTTTCAGACAATGAAAGTACCGTATTCGGATAGAGCGTACAGTTAAATGAATGAAGGTACAATGGAAAAGACAGCAATAGCTTTTCTACTGTTGTTTTGTTATCCTTTTTGACTGAGTCTTGTAATCGAACATCGTACGGAATAGTTTAGTTGCCGGAGATTCCATTACATCGTGTCGGAGAAATACAATATGGAGAATAAGCTAGCTGCTCGCAACCTACATTGAATGTTTAAGGAGATCAGACGAGAAAGTGCAGGTTACAATTCGAAGTGTTTCGCATCTGAATCCCAGTTCGTGTGTGCGTATTTTGCATTTTGGTAAACGCATGTGCGCTGGGTAGGGTTAAGTGTGCCAGGGAAGTTTAAAAGTCAACGCAAGTTGTTTCTCGGCACAACGAGGGGAAGCTGTGGATGCCGTGGTGTGACCGCTTGGATATGTTACGCTGATCGAAATCATCCACGTAAACACAGTAGGATTCAAAACTGAACGATGAGGTATGTAACCTGTCATTCGTCACCTTGGATGTGGTTGACTATTTGTTGTCGTGTAATGTGTGCATAACAGAGAACGAGCTTGCTCTTCGCGTTCTGTTGTTTCTAGTATGTAATTTGAGGCTTTTGAGTCATTGGGTCTAGGGAAAACGTACATCTGAATCGAAAATAAGTTCGTTAACCGGGAGCGCATAAACAGTCGTAATACGAAAATGGTGCATCGATACAAGACAGTCACACTTTGAATTGATTAACACTGTGTATGTTACTATCCAATTGAATGAGAACACTAATAGGTTTCGGTAATGTAAGTCTGCACAATTCCTAAAATGTATTTACCCCAACGTTTTGCAGATCTTGGATTATTATCAATGAGAGAAGAAGACAAGTGCATAAGCTGCTGTTTGCATGCAGCTTCGATTAGTGTAATGAGCCAGCCGGTACTGCCAATGATATATACACTATATCCGACAAAGATATCCACTCAATTGATGTCCGTCCTAATTCCATCGATAACTATGGTAGTTGATAAGGTCCTGCCAAAAACAAATCGAATTGCTGTGCGACAATTATAGTATTGCTTTTAAAGTGGTCGAACCGTGATCTCACACCTTTCTACACCTTCCAAGAAAACCAAATGTCTTTTCCTGCAACTGTTCCGCTAAATAATCAAAACTGAGTATACTTATGAAATAACGCCTGTAATTGGAAGCCAAAACTTCCACCCTTAACTGTCCATTTTGCTTGTTTTTCACTTGTTTGGAATATATCAACGGCAAGTCAAGACGTCGGGTAATCAACTCAGAGTGGAGAAATTAGCACTACCCTTTGTGACGCTATTGAGTCTGAGCTTGAACCA